GGCCACTCATATCCGAGGATGCCTGTCAAATAGTGCGTCTACCAAGTTCCTGTTGCAGGCGCCTGTGCAGGCAAATTTGCGTTTGTTCATCATCCAGAGATTTTACATGTACGAGGGTCATTCAATAAATAAGGTGAATTTTTCGGTATAAGGACTTCTAATACAGATAGAAGCTTACTTTTTTTCCACGTAGTCTCCCAGCACTGTCACACACTTTTCCCATCTGTGCACAAGCTTCCTTATTCCCTCAGCGTACAAAATCTTTGGACTGATGTCTCAGCCAGTCGCTCACAACACTTTTGACTTCATTGTCACTTTTAAACTTCGTGAACGCTTTCAAGGGACCAAACAGGTGAAAGTCTGAAGGGGCAAGGTCTGGGCTGTAAGGGGGATGAGGGAGCAGTTCCCAGCCCAGATCGTTGATGGTCTGCATCGTTTGGGCTGCTGTGTGAGGCCTTGCGTTGTCATGATGCAAGATGACTCCTTCTGACTGATGACCCCTGTGTTTGTTCTTTGTCTTTCTTGACCTGCCCCAGCAGTTCACAGTAGTTCTTCTGTCAGACTGAATGAGGTCATTGACTGATTCGATCACCTCAGGAGACCTCACTTCTGTAAGCCTCCCAGGCCTGTCTTCATCCTCAACACTGCTCCGTCCTTCTTTAAACAATTTAGCCCACTTGTAGACATTTTTTGGCTGAAACATGTGGCACCATACACAGTTGACATTCTCCTATGATTTTCAACTGGTTTGCACCCTTCAGCAACCAAAAACTTCATAACTGACCGCTGTTCAATCTTGGAGCATGCTTCTTGGTCGGCCATCTTTGTTAATCGCCAAAACTCTCAAAGTTTTTTTTTGTATTTTAATCTGCAAAAGAAATTAAATCCATGTGAAAAAGAAGTAAAACAAAACAAAAAAGAAAGTAAGCTTCTATCTGTATTAGAAGTCCTTATACCAAAAAATTCACCTTATTTATTGAATGGCCCTCGTATTTATGAGTTTTTGACAAAAGCGCTTCTTTCTTTTCTTTTCTTTTCTTTTTTTTCTTTTCTTTCTTTTTCTTACTGAAACCAAGTAGGGTTACTGATATGTCGATGCTGTCTTTCATGTGAAAAAAAGTTAAAACAAAAAAAAAATTAAAAAAATGTAAGCTTCTATCTGTATTAGAAGTCCTTATACGGAAAAATTCCCCTTATTTATGGAATGACCCTCGTAGTTGATACTGCAAATATACTGATTGGACTGTACTTACAGTTTTTGAAAGAGAGCGAGTTATGTAGCTTGATCATCAATCGGAACAAGACCAGCACGTTCAAAACCTCCGTCACGATGACTTGTGACTTCGTGCTCACACAACACCATGGTTACTACTATCCATTTTCATTCAGAATATGGTATCTTTTACAGGCACTTTTGAAAAAGTGAAGCACGCTAGAAGCCTCTTCCCCTACACCGATAACATCAAGAGGTCACCTTACATACAAATCGACAATTGTATCATCATTCAACCGATCGATCGAGCCGATGAGAACGAACCTTTCTTCACCTGTATAGTATGTACTACACACAACTTTTGAATTCAGTGTTACATTCTCCTAGGCCGTTTGCCAACCAATGCTATAGAACCCAGTCTGTCCTGCTATTTACCCATAGCTGGTGGGGGAGGAGAAGAGGATTTATAGCCTTTCCAAGGGTATTTGCATGTAAATGAATGTAATGGATCCTGCTAGAGTTCGAACTCGGTTCTCTAATTCCTCAATCCGAGCCGCTATCCATTACTCCACCGTCACTCCGAGTCGACCATAATGAGATTAGACCCCACGTCTCGTGGTCAAAAAAGCGAACAGGCGCCATGCTAATCTCTGTATCGTTCCAATTTTAGTGTCTGTACAACCGAAGCGATTACGGCAAAGAATTAATGAAGGCATTATTATACCTATCTATATTTCTGAGATGAGGTATTATGTACACTATTTACAATTATTCGGACTATTTTCCTCATCTTTGTCGCCATATTTATTTCAACGTTTCGAAATAAAGGGTTCAGTTCGACATTCCAACCACCTGAAGAAGGCCGGAGCTTACAACGGCCGAAACGTTGTAATAAATATGGCGATAAAGATGAGGACAATAGTCCGAATTAGGTAAATACTGTACATAATACTTCATCTCAGAAATATAGACAGATACTCAAGAAGGCCGGAATTTAAGGCTTACGGATTTGTCTCACATATTTCCGTGGGCTTACAGAAGAAATAACAGTCCCCGTACGGTCACTGAAGTTAAGCAACATCGACTCTATCAGTACCTAGATGGGTGATTTCTTGGGAATAACTGCTGATAGTTGAGTTGTGTAATGGATAACAACTCGGAATTGAAAAGTGTGTCGGGTTCATTACGTCCATTTACTCGCAAATATTATTGCGAAAGTTATGGAGACACCACTTCCCCTCCAACTATGGGTTAATTATTAGGGCGTATATTAGTCAAATCGTACTTATTATAAAACCCAGTTTGTGTGTGTGTGTGTGTGTGTGTGTGTGTGTCTGTACGTTTATATATTAGATCGGATTTCCTACATTTTTCAACCGATTTCAACAAAACTTTACAGGACTACATAAAATTACCTTGCAGTGGTTCTGACAGCGCCAAAAATTGCAAAAAACACAATTGCTTTTGCACGAACTCAATTTGAAAACACGATTAAGAGTCATCGCGAGAATGAAAGAGGGACAACTCATATCGAGTTATACTTATTATAAAAACCCAGGTTGTTTGTTTGTGTGTGTGTGTGTGTGTGTTCGTTTATATATTGGATCGGATTTCCTACATTTTTCAACCGATTTCAACAAAACTCTTTTTTTGGCAGATAGTGTTTCTTATTGTCTTGCTCACTTTTTTCTTTATTTTTACATTCAGAATGCTTTAAAAATTCCATTTACAAGACAATTGTTTATAATAAAATTCTATTCAATCGATTAAAAACAATGTTTTTGTTTGAGTTTGGGTTTGACCAATTCGTCAAAAAAAAAAAAAAAAACTAATTAAGACATGAGTGTCCGTCAACCTTAAACAGTAATCTTTCCCAATTTTATTTTTCAGTCTTTATGATGGTCGATACTTGATCTATCTCTTACTGTTACATCCCCGGGCAACGCCGGGCTCTACTGCTAGTAATTATTAAATAATAAAAAAAATTAATAATTTAAAAATATTTTCTGACCTTATGTAACCTGTAAAAGGTTGATAAGTCGTAAAAAAATCAATCAATAACGTATTTTTCTACTTGAGTTCGAACTCGTTATCTTTATTCTATAGTCAACGATCTTTACTCTGCACACTTCAGCCATCAGTCTTTCTCGTAATATATAACTATACCGTAAGAGTTCATTCATCAGAGAGAGAAAAAAAGTTACTTGTTCGTTTCTATTACGGTTTGATCAAAGTCTAGAGCCGTCTGCCTTATATATAACTATTCAATGATTCGATTTCCATCTATCAAATTAACGGTTGGGAGAATAACAAAGAGAAACAGAAGTAAGGTCAATAAGTCAGTGATTTTATTGAAGGCGATTCTTTTTGGTATCCACCAATATCGACAAATCTACTAACCTGCCGCATCAAATAACAATGTGCAATAATTTGGTAAGGTGTTTTCCGTTGGTGGTTACACAACAGAAACCGTTGCTATCAAACAAACTTAAGACATGACAAATCGATAAAAATACACTCTTTATTAGAATAGCTGGCTCATCAACCAGGCATAATTATACGATAAACGGCAGAGACTAATGGTAGTGTAATTTCTATATTAATATTCATTTTTAGAATAATTAATTTGATTAATTGTTAACCACTGACAATCTCTTTTTTTTCTGATTTTAAACGCATATAAAAAAAATAACCAAATAATCGGAATTCCGCTATTTTATTTTTAATACCATGTTCTTCGGGAGACCTGGAAATCTGAAAGCTGAATTCCGGTTCCTGTTGGATTCTTATATGTGTTATAGTCAAGGAAGAACAACACCAACACAAGAGTAGAATTAACGAAGGTATATTACACGAAATAATAATACAAGATGTGGAAGGTGTTTGTATGACTGTCAGTCTGGTTTGGAGTGAACTACTATCGGCTCGACTCGATTCGATATCTAGCCCCCCCCCCCACGAGGGTTGCATATGGCACAAGACCTAGTTTAACGTGGGTTTCGTCGGCCAAAAAATGCCCGTAGAACCCGTATAAACGTCGTCCGGGTTCCTCTCTGCTCAGAGGCAGAGAGTTCGACCGTCAAGCCGAGTTTCTCGGTTTGATTCTACCCTCTCTCTTGAGAGTACAAACTGGGAAAAGTGTCGAGTGTTAGCTCCTCCTTAGTTCCTTAATCCTTCACCAGAGGTCTCTCTCCCCTTGCTATAAATATTGGGTGACACTTGGGCCGTATCCCACCCCGCGTGGAGGTGAGGTAATTCTTTCTCTTCTGTCTTCATTTCAGCTAATACCAATATGTGAGCTCTCACCAATACAGCGTTTCCCAAATTCTCTGAATACGCTAAGAACAATACCAATACACGTACGTACGAACACTCACCACAATACACACACATAATATTCACCCCAACAAATACAATGTAACTGTCCATGTGCTTGTAACTTGTTGTTAATACATATATTTGTTTGTATATAATTACCGGTCTTTTTTGTTTTCTTTGTCTTCTTTGGACTTAATTAAAGTCCAACATTCTCATGTAGCTTGAGCGGCTAGCAGGGAATTTTAACCAACGTGTGTTCTTTACATCTTCACCCAACGGTCCTCTACAAAAGAACTATTTTTGCATTGATGAGAAATGAATACTCTTTGACAACAGTAAGAGAGTAGGCCAGTGGTTAGATGCAAGTGACTCACCAAAACAATACCCAGAACCTCCACTGCACCCTAAAAATGTTAATGGTTACTGTGCGGTGGTCTTTCAAAGGGGTTATTCATTATTGAGTAAAGGCTTACGGCCACAGCATGTTGAAAGACCGGTTCCCGTACGATCACTGAAGTTAAGCAACGTCAAGCCTGGACTGTAACTAGATGGATGACCGCTTGTGAATACCAGCTGCTGTAGGCTTGGATGTGCAAGTGGTATAATCAATAAAACCTCGGAATTGATAATGGAAGAGCCGAGTTTTAATTCAAGTTAAGTTCGTTATATACATTTACGCGCAAATACCAATTCTCCTGCCAGGTCTGGGTTAATTAGTAAGAATTGTATTACTAAATCATTATTATTTCCCCCGCCCCGACAAACAAATTCATACAATCTAAAAATATTCTTTGGCTTTAAATAACTGGCATACAGTTGATAAACTATAGTATACAAATCAATCAGTCAATAAAATACTGATGACCTACACAGGAATGTATTTAGATATATTTACATACTTTGGAATATAAATGTATAGAAACTAACGTGGCCACAAAGTGAGGGATCATTTTATATCATTCTTGTAACATAGAATTGACCCGTCGATTTTATATCCATATTAGGATTTCTTGTTTGTTTCATACATTTTGATTAGGTATGAATGAACCTCTTCACCCTCCAGCTATGGGTTAAATAATAAGACTTTTATAACTAAAACATTATCGTCTAAAAATAAATTTACAATCTAAAACTATTTTCTGGCTTTAAATAACCTGCAAAGGGTTGATAAGCCGTAAAAACCAGTTAATGAAATCAAATCATTTATTAGGTCCTGATCTTTGTATTTACTTAGGCACAAATAACCTTGGAAAAGGTATGAATTCACCTCTTCTCCCCTCAGCTATGGGTTAATTAGTAATAATTGTATCACTAAACCATTATTATCTAAGAAAAGAAAGAAATCTGCAAAAGTGTGATAAACTAGAAAATGAATCAATCAAATACTGATTAATTACACAGGGATGTCTTCTAGATTTATTTACATTCTCTGGAATATAAATGTGTAGAAATAGCTGTGTCCAAAAAGTGAGGGATCAGCTTATATATAGATTTTAATGTAGAACTGATCCCCCATTTTAGATCTTCTGATAATCTTGTTTGTTTATCAAATTCTGATTAAGTATTAATCCACCTCTCCTCAGCTATGGGTTAATTAGTAAGATTTGTATTACTAAACCATTATTATCTCAAAAAAGGAAATTCTTACAATCTAAAACTATTTTCTGGCTTTAAATAACCTGCAAAGCGTTGATACGCCGTAAAAACGAATCGATAAAATCAAATCATTTATTAGGTCCTGATCTGGCATCTCGTCTACAGTCACATTCTCACAGACGTGATGTGGCTTCCCTTTGTCTTTTCTACAAATATTTTCATGGCAACTGCTCTGAATTTAAGCGTGCTACTAGGTTTGCATCTCGGTCCCACACGTTCACTGTCGAAACAATTAAATGTAAGGATTCTACTCCAACAGCGTCTTCACTCGCACTTCCCGACAGTGGAACTCCCTTCCTCTTACTTGCTTCCCTGATAGCTATAATCTTCAAATATTCAGATGTAATGTCAGTCGACATCTTCTGATGCCTTGATTTTGATCCCTGTCCTTCTTCTTATCTTTTCTTCAAAGACGCCCCCTCTTTATTCTTGTTCTCACACTCCGTAACCCCTTGCGTGCTAGTGGCACTCCTGCCTTGCTTGGGGTGAAATGCTTAAAAAAATCATATGTGTAATTACGGTAGCATTAATTCCTCGTGACAGACCTTGATTTTATTCCTGATTTAAAACGAAGTAAAAATTATTAGTATTATATTTTCATCCTATTTTTAAGGATGAAGGCTGCAAATAGGTGTCTTTTCTATTAATTGCTATCACTTCTGTATATAATGGAGTGGTTTCCTGTTGCCACTTCAGGGCTTTTCGGGAAAAGTAAACAAAAAAAATCCCAGGTCAGAGTTTGAAATCCCTGAAAAAAAGAAAGCAAACAAATACAATTTTGGAGTTGTTTACCCGAATTTGCAAAAAAATTGTTGTCGATTGAATTTAATACTTGTTGATCTATCTATCTATCTATCTATCTATCTATCTATATATATATATATATATATATATATTCAGGCCAGTAGATGAAAATACATAAATATAATGTTTAATAAATCAACAGACAATCTATTCAACTACGGGTATCCACAAAAAATAATGTATAAGTAATATATATATATATATATATATATATATATATATAAAAGTTAACATTGAAGTCAACACTCAGAGGCTGTGAGTGTCGACTTCAATCTTCACTTATATATTTACATACACTCTATCTCTGATATTGAGCACTTATCCCATGAATATAGCACACCTTAAAATAATATATATATATATATATATATATATATATATATATATATATATATATATATAAATGTGGATATAAGCCAAATAATTAGATATTAGCAACCGTATATACGTGCGTTAGCAGGTAAGCGAATAAATATTTACTTTATGAATATATGGTGTAAACAAAAGAGTGCTCAGTATGGTTAGACAGAGCTAAGAAGTATATATTAATAAATATACATATATCTGCGTTCAAAGTGCAACCAACTCACAAGGCACAGATTATTACCATTGTTTTTTTTTTTTTAAGTACTGAGTCTCATGAGGAGATCGGTAAACTAAACCCAGATTGAAAGCCCAAAGTTAATATAGACTTAGTATATTATTGGGATGTAAATACGAAATGCAAAGTGTAGGTTGGAGGATATTATAAAAGGACAAAAAAAAGATGTAAGCTTAAAGTTTAAAAGATGGACGCCGTATAGCTCGTTAGGTATTAATAGACACTAAAATGGTTAAAGGGGGGTAATCACTATGTAACCTAGAATATGTAAAGGGCATGTGATATTTGGAGAATTTATCTATCCAGAATTAAAACACGTTAAGAAAGTTTTTTTTCTCTGTGGTTACAAGCTAACATAAGTTCATTTCGTTTATTAACTAGATTCCGGTCCTTAATATTACTGAGAATAAATCTTTTTTCCATCAAACACAGGTTGCATCCATTGTCGCAGCCGGAAAAAATGTGTAGATTTGGCGACGAAATTTCAATTTACTGCCTGGGTCTAGTCATCTGTTTTAATATCCTAGTAAAATGTTGAGAGTGCCGTAGCATTTGCACATTGCTTGTTGCTATGAGTCATTTATGGTGATAATAACAGGTTTTCCAATTGTTGACTTTGGAACCGAAACATAATTTTGTCTCGCTATAATGTTTAATGTTTGCCTTGTAGATGACACCTTTATAAATACATTTATGCTTTATTGGACAGGTAATGTTTTTTCGACAATTACACTTTTTTCTATGTTAATATTGTTAGTGAGGTTGTTTAAATATTTGTTTAATGTTACATTATTATGCTGTGTTATATGCTGCTCAAAGTTTTTTTAGTGCAGCACTAGCGAATCTTAGTATTGTTCTTATTGAAGAGTTTGTTGAGTAAAGGGTTATGGTTTAAATGTTTGTGAGGAAAACCAACATCGATATGCTTTTTCTAAATTTAATCCACATTAAAAAATAAATCAATATACATACATATAAATAAAATGTCGTTAGAAAGTACAACACCTTAGGAGCTGTCTGACAATTGACACACGAGTAGCTTAGTAATCAACATGTCCTCAGGATACAATCGTCGAGTTGCTGCTGTGGAGAGCGTTCTCTTTGACTACAAAGCCAAGGTTTGGTTTGGTTTAGCGGTATGTCAACACTTCTAATGGTTATTTAATGCCAAAATTTAAATATTTTGTACGCAAATTTATGGCTTCGGCTACAGATATTTTGTACATAATTTTATAAGTTTAAAGTAAACGTATGTCTTTTTTAAATATATATTTTTAGATGATAAAATCTCATGCTGGTAATGTTACTATAAAAAATGAATTCTTATACTTTAGTGCTGCACTGATTGTCATTTTTCTAAAAAATATATTACTATTGGTCATTTTTTTAATAAAAATATTGCTGGTAATTTTACCATAATATATTTTTATACTTTCTTAGTGGATCATCAAACAAAAATCAATGTCCTATTTTTCCATAGCTAGGATGCTAACCGGTGTTACAACCTCGGATCAGGGTGGACCTGGGAAGAACAGCAATTAATTGTGCTTATTGTCGAGGACGACTTGAATTATAAATCCTATGTACTTAAGAGGTACCATTTGCTCACCGTACCCCACTGAACGCCCGACATTTGACGCCTCCATCGCCAAACAACAATCCTATTTTTGTGTGGGGCATCTTGAAGAGGGGAGTGAATAGCAGGACCTACAGCTTCACTATGGCCAACATGGACAGAGGTGCCGTCACCAAGGCCTGCTCCAGCTTTCCGGCCGAGCCTAGAGAATGTGGTGGCCGCCGATGGGAGTAGGAACACCGAGTGATATTTGTACCTTATATATGTCCCTAACTGTATATAAATTTTCATTGAAATATGTTAATGTTATAGGAAAGAAAACTGTTTTTATTATCTATTATTGTTTCCGGATTTATCTGCGCCACATTGTAGACAAAAACATATACGTGTAAATTCCTCTTTTGGGATAATTTCACGTTTTCTTATCATCTCTCAGTTGCGTCTCTGTCCTTGGACAGAGTGCGCTCAGGGGCTTCTCTGTCTGAGGACAGAGGGGCAACTGAGGAAAATTATACTGAGAAGTGCCCAGCCCTGGGGAACAGCTGCCCTAGGTCGCGCCCTCCCGTTGCACAAGAGGGAGGGATCGGTGCTCGCACCGAGGCCAGCGCTACCGACGGTTGCGGGTGCTGAGGGCAATTTTTGTCCCTGCCCGGGTGTACGCGCTCGGGCTTCCCACATTAATCCGACCTTGTGTCACATCTCATTCTCCTGGGGGAATGAGTAAACACCGTATACACAAACATATACGCATATGAAAAAATATATACACCAGGTGTACAAGCAAAATTGCCCATTTGTTAGATTAAGCTCTGAACTGTTGTATCTTAGAAATGATTAAAGATATCTTACTGCCTTACTGTTGGACTATACTTTGAACAATAACAGTGTATAATTACTCTACAAGCTTCAGAAGAATCGTGAGGAAATAGAATCATAAACGAAAATG